ATAGGTTATGTTGTGTGAATAATTAACGGTACCAAACACTGACAGGACCATTCCATCAACGGGACCTTAGCGTTCCCCAAAATTATAACAACCTTCTACCTACCTACTACCCTCCGTACATGTGTACAATCCTCCCCAATTACAATACATAAAAATATCATCAATTCCGTATCTTTAATTCCATACAATATTCGACAAATTACTACCAATCTTAAACTTTATTTATATATTTTTGTACTCTATTTTTGAATCACATAATGCGATAACTAGCAAACTAACTAATCATACTTCGGACACATAAAATTTTGGATAAATAAATCACATCAGAAAAAAATGATTTTCATAAGTTTAAAGTCAAATATCCTCTATAGATAAATCAGATGGAAGTTGATATCCAAATATCATAGAGTAGTCATCCATCTCATCACTTGTGAATTTTGGTATTCTCCAACCTACCTCTGAATCTTCACCATATTTTAGCAGCTCTATCACCTATTATTAAAAAAATATAATAATAAGATTGTTAAGTATAATATAAAGGTAAATTAATTTACTTATATAAATATGCTAAATTAATGATATTTCAATATAAAATTACTTATATAAATATGCTAAATTAATATACATATTAAATTATATCTCATATTTAAAATGCTAAGACAAAAAAGTTGAAACAAAATATCAAAATTGCATAGATAATTAATTAAAAAAAAAAACAAAGAACATAAATGAATAAAGTACCTCAGTCATCGATGGTCGGTACAACGAAGATTGCCTTACACTATACGCCAATTGATAGGAAATAAAGTTGACAATGAAAAAACATAAACGAAATTTTAAAATTGATAAAAAAAGTAATCGAACCGACATATATTTTTTAATCGAAAAAAATTTGAATCCGTCAAGTTCGATTGAATGTGTGCAGTCTGAGGGACATTAATGTGCAGTCTAATTAACACTATTATGCACGACTTCGGTAGCTAATGTGCAACCGACATTCATTAACGTGCGATTCGACTAACACTATTGTGCACGATTTATGTGGTTATTGTGTAATTAGAACCATTAGAATCGGCCGAACTTCTGTCTCAAATCAAATTAAAATTGAGTCGATACTGATTTTTTTTTCGGTTGTCGAATTAACCAAAAATTATTGAAATAAAATATCATTTAAATTATAAAAATTCAATTTTCTATAGTTATATTTAATAGCATATACTTTGTTTATGGCTGAAATAATATTATTTTAAAATTACATATATAAAAATAATATTTTTATATAGTCCGCTAGTTTGTTATTAAAAACAATAGTAAAAAAATAAAATCAAACCGAAATAAACGATAGTTTGATAGTAAAAAATAGATAATCGAGTTTCAATATAAAATCTCAAAATGAAATTTTAATTTTTTAAATTTCGGCCACTATTTGTGCAATACAATAGTTATTAATTTTCAATTAGCCTAATACTATCGTGCAATCATATCACATGCGTTTTCAATGCATTTTGGTTCGGTCATTTTTTGTCGATATAGTGCAACCTGACAGTCACTAACGTGCAATCCATCTCATCCTAATGTGCACTCAAACTGCATTATTTTTAATGAATTTTCCCAAACCATTCTAAAAATAAAAACTAATCGGTTTATTTGATCGCTTAACTGAATTAACCTAAATAATCTAAATAATTTATAATTTAAGTTAAAAATATATATTTTGTATTTTAATATTTTTATTTAATATTCTTTTTGTTGTAAAGACCTAAAAAATATATAAATTTATATAACAAAATAGCATTTTTTAATACAGTTCGATCGTTTGGTAATTTAAAAAAATAAAACTGACATTGAACCAAGAAAACAAAAATTTAAATATAAAAGACAAATAATCGAACCAACAATATAAAATCAAAACCCAAAACTTTGTCTAGTTGTTTCGAGTTTCGACTACTATAGTGCATTTTGTTAGTCACCATTGTGCAATCCGTCTAACACTAATATGCGATCGAAGTGCAAGTATTTTTTTTTTTATAAAAATATATTCAATATTTTATTATTTTATTTGATATTTATATAATTTTTTATTGAAAATTATAATAAACTTATGTACATATATTACAGTCTGTAGTTTAAATAATCTAAATAATTTATTATTTGTATAATAAATTATATTTAATATTTTTACATCATTTTTGTTTTAACATACATAATATATGTGTATAACAAATCCATATGAAATGACACATTTTATATATTTCTTGTAAATTATAGAATTGACCCAGAGACTAAATTGTAATATACATAAAATATCTAAAATTGTAGTCAAGTCCCTAAACTTTATCTAATTTACAAAATCTAAGTCCATATCAAAATCAGGTGCAATGGTGCAACCGGGACCACTGCCTCACCACTCCATCACCGTCGTGTAAGTCGACGCGAGGTCGTCGTCGCCGCCGAGATAGTGTGTGTGTGTGTGTGTGTGTGCTTGTGTGCTTGTGTCTGTGGTGACTATAAGATTTTTTTGGTGCTTGCCGCTTTTTTTGAGGTGTGGCGGTGGTGAGCCGCTCTGGC